TGTGTGTGTGTGTGTGTGTTTGTTGGGCCGTTCAGTTTCCCTGTCAGCCCACATCGTGATCCTCATTAGCCGGAGCGTTCTCTCTCCCGCGCTCCCTTACTGACTTCTCCCTTTTATTTTAACTCAATTCAGTCACGCTTAAACAATCCGGAGTTGTGCATTAGCATCGCACTTGCACGCATCTACACAGTGAAAATTGTGCACAAACAAACCCTTTGGACATCTGGAGAAAAAGCACATGCACATGCATACATGCCAATTTAGGGTAACTAGGGCAGTATCTCAAGCTGATGCTTGTAAGTTCATGTGAAGGATAGCATACTCCCTCTGGGAGTGTGAGAACTGAGGTTTTCACACACACCCCCCTCCCCAAAATATATGCATTGATCAGATATTCTCTTTCAGAAACTGTGGCAAGTTCTCCACCATTCTCGTCTGCCTCTCAGTCAGCAATGCACAACTCTGAGAGAATGTTCCCATGTTTACCTTGGGAAGCTTTTACACAAATTTCCTCTCCGTGACAAGTTCACCCCACAGATCTGCAGTGTAAGGCAAACGGGATGTAGGGCTTGTTTGTTTTTCACTGATCTTCCCCTTGTCTTTATTCACCATCTCGCTGGCTCTTACCATGTCGGAGAAGGGGAAGCTGAGGAGGAGTGGGAGGAACAGAGGGCTGCTTTGTATCGGTCTCTCTGAGGCTCTGTCTGTGGAAGTGGTGGCGAGCTGTGTGTGTGTGTGTGTAGGTGCTCCTTAGTTTGGGTGCCTGTCTTTGGTGGCATGTTTGGCACATGTCCGTGTATGGATGTGTGGTGTTGTTTTTCCAGGTGTTGATTTAACAGTTTTAAAAATAATTTTAACAACCAGTTGACATCGTGCCAGTCGTCACCCACCGACAGGTCTGTCCACAGACGGCATCAAAGAGGATGTGATAGCAGAACTGCCCCTACCTCTGTGAAAGTATCCACGACTGTGCATGAGCATGCGGGCACACATGTTGTTCATTGTGCCTCTCCTTCTTTATGTGCCATTTTTCCTAGCAACACCCACAATATTCGGCACAATGCAGTTGTTTGAACAGAGACGACTGCCAAAGCTGGGCCTCTTTAAAGGATATATATCTGTCTCACATAAGCTCTGCCTCTGCAAAACAAAAGGCGCACCGGCCTGTCCCAGATTTTCCTTGTGCACAGGCTGTGCAATGTGATGAGAACAAACACCGCACTGCTGTATGCCTGTTGGTTTAAGCTTTTATGACCTTAGACAGGTACCTGCTCTCTGACTTATGGGAATCCCTGTATTCCCGAGGATGGACAGGTTCTTTTGGGCTCTTCCGACATGGCCTGATTTACTCCCCCACCCCCAAAAACAACTTCCGGACCTATGCGTCTGTCTGCATGATCGCTGTGACAGACAAATAGATGAACAGACAAATTAACTAGGAGGACTTGCATTGCGGAAGTTAACATTAAAGTCAGCCAATCTGTCTCGCTAACACCTTCACACTCTGTCTTCAGGTGATTAATGCTGTGATAAGTGGAGGGTTCAAGCTAATTTTGAGGCTTTTAGCCACCTCAGCACTTCAGTTCCTCCACTCATTGACCCGCAGGCTCCAGGCTCTTCAAGAGCTCTTAAAGGAGGGTATGTCACTCCTGACAAAGTCCTTAAAGTATTACTCATGCTTAGTGTGTGAGGGTGTGGGAGGATCGTGCTCCCTTCCTGAAAGCTCAGCCAAAGAAGAAAAATAAGGTTAAACGTAAAGGTCACTCTGATTAGAAGGAAGCATGATGTGAAGAAGGAATCATGCATTCAGCTTCCTGTGATTGTCATCTTACAAACTATTACTTGGGTGAGCAGAGCAAGAGGATGATGCATATTTATCATTCATTACAAATTTCCTATTCCTGCTTTTCATTTGAGGAAACTCCAGATTCCATTTATCTTTTGCTTCGTGGCAGCAGCAAAAACTCCCATTGAATGTTTTTCAGAAGGTAGCGTTCGTCAATTTGCTTCCTCTGGGTCTTGCAGCCATCACTAATGTCACATCAATGTAGAGATCAACAAATGCATCTTAAGATTTTTCCATTAAAACATTTACAGTCAGACAGAAAGTGAAATCAGGAACTTGTTGGTTGTTTTCTCTTCTCTTTTGTGAATCTCAACAATACCACAGCCTTGACCCTTAATCACAAACGTCAGAAGCAAATATTCATACAAAGAGTAGTCACATATTTCTCATTGTGTAGTGAGGGGGAAAGAAGAAATGAACAACGCTGACATAATGGAAATCTGAAAGTCACAGATACATGAAAATCTGGTCTCTTCCCTTAAGCAATGTGCTGAACCCATCTGTTTCCATGGTGCTTTCAAAGCACACTGTATAAGACACAAGCACAAGGAGTTAGGTAACCTCCTCCACGGGCGTTCAAAAGCACACCACCAAGTGATTCTGCGGTCGAGCAGTCCCTCAGAGCTCCTCATTGGCTTTGACTGATCACATGATGCAGGTTGAAATCTAAGTTGCAGACATGTTGTGATTCTCCTCTCGTCTGTCTGCAGAAGCATTTAGTTTCAGGTACATCTGTATCTGGATGTGCCATGATGTGGACACCTGCTTTAGACATACTGCCTTGTAACGGTGAAAACAGCCTTCATCAGGCGTCATGACTTGTTATTTTCCATAGTTTTTCTACAGCACAGTTCTGGATATACCACTTTCCCCATTTAGTCAGATGAGGTGTGTTGTGGTTTAAAGATGTGATGTAGACCAGCTGGTGTTACCTCGTGTTGAGGGAGGTGCACACCAGCGCCATTGTAATCACGCTCCAGAATTTTTGGTTAAGTGGGTGCTTTTGTCACGCTTCACGCGGCTGCACCCCGCCCATCTGCATTCTATAACAATTAAAACAAGTCTTGCAGCTTCCGATACCAAAGCAAGACTTGACTTGTCATTTTTCTGTGGAAGGGCGCACATACACACACACACACACACACACACATATGTGCTCATGTTTGTTGTCATGACATGCAGGTGTGTCTACATGAACTTGAAGAATGTCTTTCCCACATGAGGGCATTGTCAAACACAGCCTCCACTGTTTCTATAGTCAACTGACCTTTCCTCTCCACTTGCACTTCTTTGCACCTGTTTAACCTTTCTAGACCTCTCTGTTTTGTCCTTGCTTTTCATGTTCCTGTGTTATTATGTGACTCTGACACCCGACCTTCTTTTCTCTCTCCTGACATTTTTTTCAGGAGAAACAGGACTCGAGCAGCACGTCTCTGCAGCTCCGTAATGAGATCCAGGTAGGCATAGACGTTAAGTTCACAAAACACTTTTGCAGAGTTGTACACATGCTTTGGTTAAAAATGTCAGTCTAACATCTGTCTTCTTCTCTCTGTCCTCAGGAATCATTAGGCTTCAGCAGTGAGGTGTCAACTCCCGAAACAGACAGAAAGTACGTTTATGTGTCATTACTGTAACAAGTGATCGTAGCCAGTGTGGAAGCATGAAATGTGCGTGGATTGAAACGTGTGTCTGTTCCATGTCAAAACAATGTGCAAGACAGTCCGTGTCTGGATCTCATCAAATCGTTTACATGCCTCATGCATCGCACTTCGCCTGTCTGTACGTCTGCACCTAAAGATGGAGAGGGCCAAATGGAAACGCACGCACATCCAGATGCAGCTCAGGACACTGATAGATCTCGTATGTGACAGCTTGTACAAAAGGTCGCCCAGTGGGTGCAAAGGTCGCCTCCTCAGGTGGAAACCTCTGAGCTCACAGATGAGTGTGGTGATGTGTGGGGGAGCAATCGGCACAGCTTTGACTGACCTTAAACATAAATGAAAATGCAGATATTCTCAGACAGAGCGTTTTGTTTTAATATATTGTTAAGACGTTGGGAGAATTAATATATAAACAGAATAAGAGGGAATTTAACTTAGAAATACATCAAATTAACTGTATACATTCACTGTAATCACAATTTGGATAATTTTGGTAATTTGCTTTTAATTGTTCCATGAGAACATCAATACAACTCATGTATGAAGATATGATGTTAAATCATTAGCGAGTTAGCTTCATTATCTCAAATTTTTGCTTTAAGGTTTCCTCCCCAAACAACTACTTAGTAATGCATTGCACACCTCCCTCCTCGATCCTTTTCATTTATGCACTGCTGCAATCGTTTGTAAGAGAAACAGCAATGATGAAATGGATGAAACAGCATCATATGAATGTTAAGAAGAAAATTTGCTGGAAATGAACTCCCAACATTTAGAGATACTACAAACACGACCAGCAGTCGGTCCTTTAGACTTCCTCTCTTGAAGAAAAACCACCGACCGCTTCCTCCGGCCAACCTGCTAAGTCCAGCAGCTGTCCTCTGGTCTCTGGCCGTCCACGCTTCCTTCCTGCCTTTGTGTCCAGTCGGGGGGGAGAGGGAGTCGGAGAGGGTGATCGCCAGATGATTACAGCAGAGAAGCATGAATGAAAGAGCAGGATGGAGCTGGTCATGGGTGGGGTTCCTTTTCACTGGTCCCTGTAACACAAAGTATGTGTGTGCTCACTTTTCTGCACATTTTGTGTGTGTAGAATCTCTTCCATCATTTGCCCACAATGAGATCACCGTTATGAACTGTTCAACACATTTTAAACAATCCTTGGTCTGCAGTAGAGCTCTGTAAACGCAGAATTGAATTCATTGCAGTCACACATGTTTGGACGCTTTTTAGTTGCTGGGTTTGCTTGATTTGTGTAAGAAAAGGTCAAGAAAATTAAATTGTTTGCTCACAGCCAGATGACGACTGGAGTTTTAAAGACAGAACCAGCATTGCCCATTGGCGGTGATTAGTGGAAATGGGAGCCCTGGTGGAACCCCGATCACATGTTCGCCAGGGCCAAAGTGGAAATAAATCTTATCTCAATCTTTCTTCATTTTCTGCATTTGTTCTGGTCCGTCACCTTCGCGTGACCCCCGCAGTGGAATTGTCATGTTCATGTGACGACCACGTGCAGCAGACGAAGCGCATACCACAGCCGTGATCTCTTCTCCTATGGCTGTATATGTCGCGCAGACAAATGCTGTGGATGATGGGAACCAGATGTCAGATTTTTCGAATGACGTCTCTCTGCTGAGGCCCAGAAAGAGCCTGTGACTGTACTCTACTCTTTTTTTCTCCCCTTTCTCAAAAGTATACAGACTTTTTCTGCCACGAGTCTTCAGCCAATCTAACTCGACATATACCCCCCTCTTCACCTCTGTCACTTTGACTCTTCTCTCCTGCGTTTCTGTCTCTCTTCTTACGAGGCCCCATCTCTAGAGTGAGCATAGGGTATCTGTATCATCTTTATCTAATTAACCTCATTTTTAAAGTTTTCATGCTCGAGGACAAAGTCTCCTCCGTCCCGCCCCTCAGGACCTTTCTTTCTTTTTCGTAATCCATCCTTCACTGCCAGTCCTCGCACTCACCCCATGTTCTGCACTCCATTTCACAGCCTATTGTCCACTTTCCACTGTGGTGAATGGGTTCCAGGTAGAGTGATTTATCATGCACAAGCAGACTGATAGACAACCCCCCCCCCCCCCCCCTTCGTTCCCCTCCCTCAGACATATTCCTCGCAGCCGCACAATGCATAAACGCTCACACGCACAGACACGGATACCCACATCATCACCTCTCCACGGGACAAAAGCACCCAGAGGCGATTATCCAGATTTCAGCTCTGGGCTGTGCCACCCTCGCGTCTGCATGTCTCCATGTTGGTTTGTCGGCGGGAGGCGGGCACAGCTCCCACAATCCCCGGTATGCAAGCGATGATGACGGAGCAGTCCCACAGGGCTGGAGGTTTAAGGCTAGAGACTTCCTGTTTTGGAATGTGATTGATTAGTGGGCATTGTTGCAGAGTGGGGACCTCATGCTTATCAGTGACGTTAACAGCGGAGGTAAATGGAACTTGATGAAAAGCGTACGTGTGCACAGAAGCGAGACACAGTTGTTACTCGACTTTGACAGGGTTCGTAAGAGAAGCATTTGTGCGACTGGATGTAGAATCTAAGCTTATGCAACTAATAATCAGATGGAAACGTAAGCCGTGCCATGTGAAGAATAGAACAACATTAGCATGCTGGGAAACTAAAGTAGCTTGTCAGCGTATTTATTCTCTTGCGGTTGAGTATTGCAGCACATTCATGGAGCTGCTATTTGCTACAGAGACAGAAGCTCGCCAGTGTAAATATTCACACACTTACAATGCACTGAAATATACTTTTTTCAATTGTGCATTCTGTGGGTTTGGTTTTTCCCACCACATGACCTTCTGTCTTCCCCTTCCCTGTGACCTCCAACCTCTTCCATGACCCTTTAGAAGGTCGTCCCTCTGCTCTTCCTGAGACAACCGGCACTGTTGCACAGGGTCGCTGCCTCTCATTGTCTGGACGAGAGCCCTGGAGATGACTCTGTCCAGGTGGCCCGGCCTCGCACCCACACGAAAAACACACAGTCACCGTTCATGTGTGCATTGTTGTGATTTTTGCTGAGCGCGGAAAAAAACTGCCACCACGTGCTAACATGCTACGTGCTGGTTTATCAGTAGTCCTGGACAGAAGCTTGGTCGCACAGGATAGGAGTGGTCTCAAACCTGTGATTCATAAGTGTCTACGTCAAGGGTTGACCATACGATCTGCCCTCCGTGTCCGCTGAGAGCTGCATACTGGTTCTGGTCACACATACATATCCATGATTCTGTTAATACTAAAATGAGGGTCCCCCATGATTCCTTGTAACAAGTTCCATTCCATTCCAGTAGATGGATGTATTGAACCTGGAGCTTGGGCAGTCGACACATACATTCAGAGCGGTCACAGATTTTGGGCTGCACCCATATGGGTCCATGTGTTCCAGATGTGCAGCAACATTTACAATGACCATAGAAGACCGCAAACTGGCGGTCATGGAAATTGGGAATTCTTCTTAATTGTCACTTATTCATTGTCATTCTTTGTTACTATTAGATCTGTGTTTCTTTATACTTCTGCATATTTTCCAAATGATTACTGTCAGCATCTCTGCAGTTGTGAATCATCATTCTCAAGAATAAACACTACTCCTAGTTTATCATTGTGAAAATGACTAATGCTTTACATCCCACTCACGTAAAACGCACTGTCAGACGTATCATTCTCACTTTCAGGAGCTTTTAACCATGTTTGATTCAGTCCAGACTCTCGTTCTCCTCCAGCATGTATATTTTCAAAGTGCAGAGGAATCAAGGAAGGCAACTTTCACCTACACTGCACAGAGTCGGCCAGCGTTAAGACACTGTATGTTATAATAGGCTTTGAATAGAGTAGCTAGCTTATGCTAATGAGATAAGAGCAGTTAAATGTGGAACACTCAATGCAAGGAGTGGAATCCAAAAAGAAAGGCAAGCCAAAGATTTAAGGTTAAACCAATTAAGATGCCTCGCTGCACAATGCCTGGACGACCCGCTCTTTGAAACGCATTCAGACTCTTTAAAAATGTGCGAGCGTGCAGATGTGTGTGTGTGTGCGTGTGTGTGTGTGTGTGTGTGTGAGTGCATGTGGGAGGTTAATTTATAGACCGTGGAGGAGGAGGGGATGAAGCAGTGCTGCAACTGAAAAGCTTCTATTGAGTGAGTTCTGTTAGCATTAGCTTTGGCCCTAGCCTATCTAAGAGAGAAGGGGGTGGGGGGGTGGATGAGCAGAGGGACAAATCATACAGGCCTCCATTCAATTAGCATCTCATTATGTTGCCATGGCAGCCGGGGCTTTAAGCTACGAGAAGATTTCCCATTGCACCGAGAGGCGGCGGCTGCTTTGGAATGAACATATGAGCACATATGCACACGTACAGTATATATCCACACACACACACACACACACACACACACACTGCCACTGGAGAGGGAGGTGAGCATCTTCTTTCGAACCCATCACACACTTCATGGTGCAGCTTTACTCCCGTGTACGATAGTCATTCAAAACATCTGCCAAATCGAGATTTACTTAACACGTCTCTAAAGACAAATTTGCTCCTCTGATCTCTCCCCTTTCCCCCTATGGTGTATTCTCCTTTTAATTGAAAGGATGAAAAAGATCAGTGTGCTGCTGCTGCCGCTCACTGTCACACACACAGACAAAAACACACCTGTAGGGCGTCATCCACAGACATAATCCGTCCTGAAGCTTCACTTCCTCTTCACCCTCTCACTCAGCCCACTTATACCCAATCGGAACACAAAGTCTCCTCTGTGAACTTTTCAGCAGCTTCGCCTGAACATGAACCGCCGAGCAGATCCCCCTCCCATTCTTTTTTTTTTTAATGCATGAAGAAGAACGGCTTTTAGATGATGTGGTTTCTCATCGGCAGCAGATCAAAGCAGAGTCAGACTGCAAGACTTGAAAATTGGGTGAGGCTGCTGATACACGACTGTCTGATCAGAGGTGGGGGAGGTTCATGTGGCATAAGGAGCTTTTTCGAATTGTTCCTGTCCTCTCGTTTGTTCTGGTTATTTGAGAAGGTGTGTGGACATGTCAGAGATTTATTCTCCCCAGTTATTTTCCATCTCTTTCTCTCGGATGCCCTCTCTCCCTCTTCTCTCTCCGTCTTCCTCGTGACTGTCTATCCTGTGGAGGGAAGTGGAAACACAAACAGGCTGAGTCTGCCCTGTGGTTTTTTTCCTCTCCCTGCTCTCTGTCCCTCTCTCTCTCCCTCCCCCCCCCCTTCTGTTCTTCTCATCCTCAGTTCCATACTTTCCATCCTCACATGACTGACCACTCTTTGTCTTCATCATGTTGACCTTACTCTTTTCTTCACAGATCCTTAAACACTATGTATTAACACAGTCCTCCTCTCCTCTTCCCTCCTCTCCTCTGGTTCCTCTCCTCTCTTTCATTCCTCTCCTCTCGTTCCTCTCCTCTCCCTCTCAAGCCTCAGGAGCCTGGTTCGCTCTCACTAAAGTACCACCACTGACCCCCAGTGGTAAAAAGACGAACTGTACAATTCACTTTTGCTCGTGCTGTACATGAAACAGAGACACTAGGCTTTATGATAAGATGTGAGCACATGAATTTAAATTAGAATTTTTCTCAACCCTGTCTTTCTTTCTTATCCTCTTTTTGTACAGAATGCCGCTGCACAAGTCCAGCTCTGAAGATGGATCTGGAGGTAAACTGAGATCTCCTCCTTTCTTATTATGTCCACAATAAATCATTTATTGGTTCTTGGGGAGAGATTAAACATGTTTGTGATGGTCATTCTTCATATTTGCAAGAAATGTGATCAATGCAGATGCAGTTTAACACAAAATGTAACATGCTTAATATAAATGTAATGATCTTTCTTGTCATTGTGTTTTAGCTCTGTGTTTTCTCTATGTGACCGATGCTTCCTTGCCTTTAGGTAAATGGGACAACAAGAAGAAGAACAAATCTTTTTGGCAGAACTTCCGCAAGTCTCAGCATAAACCTGTCATGCGACAGACGTCCAAAGGTTTGTGTGGCACACTTTTACAGATCCCCTCCATGAATAGACATCATGTCATACTTGACCTTCTGCTCTTCACTCTCTGCCTCCATCAGGAGAAGACATCGGCTACGTGGCCAGCGAGATCACCATGAGTGACGAAGAGCGGATCCAGCTGATGATGATGGTGAAAGAGAAGATGATCACCGTAGAAGAAGCCCTAGCTCGGGTAGGAAAGCGCCACCACCCTCCTGCCTCTGTTGCACCTTCCTCCCACATACCGGCTCCCTACTCCTCCTCCGCTCAACACCCCCAGATCCCTTCACCTCCTCCTGGATTACTCTCCTGCCTTTTCCCTCCTTCTGCTCCATTCTCCCACCATTTAGAACTGGCTTACTAAAATGACTCACTTTTACTAACCCCTACACCGCCCTGCATTTTTAACATGAATTGTCATTTTTACACATATGCACACACACACACACACACACACACACACACACACACACACACACACACGCAGAGAACCTATGGACACA